CCAAAACAGAGCATCACAAATGCTAAAGTGAAAAGCCATCGACAGTTGCAATATTCTTTACCAATACCATTGTTTAGCTACACCAAAACAGAACATCACAAATACTTATACTGTACTATTCATTTTGCTTAGTTACTACAGATTTTACATCATATACATACCATTGTTTATGATTTTTTGTAGGATTTGATTAGTGCTGCTGAGGAAGTATTTCCTGCTTGTGAGCACAGAATGTGTGCTTGACACATTCTGTTAAACTGGTCAAAGAAATGGAAGTGTATTGAAAGAAGGAAAAAGTTCTAGAAGTGTGTTAGGGAAACATTTGAATCTGAATTGAAGGTCAGGGAAGGTGAGTTAAGTAAGTTGGGTAGAAAAATTGTGGAAAATATCACATATAACATTGAAAGATGGTGCAAAGTGTACTTCCAGGAGTTCTCAAATGTGATAGTGTTGTTAATAATATGGCTGAAAGTTTTAATGCTTGGATATTAGCAGGCAGCTGGACATAAGGCAATTGTGTCTATGCTAGAAGAAATTAGAGTCAAGGTGATGAATAAAATAACTAAAATGAGGGTTTTTCCTACAGCTTGGGTAAATGGGATATCTCCAATGGCTTTGAAGGTGTATAAGGAGAAGATGAAGAAGTATCATGATCAAAAGATCGAAAAGCGAGAATTTAATCCCGGAGATTTGGTACTTCTATTCAACTAAAGGCTGCGCTTGTTTCCTGACAAGCTCAAATCAAAGAGGACGAGACCATTCAGAGTTGTACAAGTGTTGTCACACCCACAGAGCGGTTGAACTTGAGAATGAGGAAGGAAAAAGATTCAAAAGGTGAGAGTTAAATCAAGCGCTACTTGGGAGGCAACCCAAGTAATCTAGCTAGTTTGAATTATTTTATTTTATTTTTTTATTGACATTTTTTTTCTTAAGTTTGATTTTTGGCTAGAATAGGATAGTTTAGGGTTCGTGTCCAAAAGGTGTCAAGAAAATGTAAAAAGAAGTCCTAAGTTTGCTACATGTGCAAGAAAGAAAGAAAAATCTGCAAAATTTCAAAGTGTAGAGGGTTTTAAATCTCATCTACGAGTCGTTGCTCATTCAACAAACCGTAGATGGCATCCATAGAATCTAAGTCCTAACACAATAATAACTTTAAGTCTACGGATGTACAATACGAACAATTTAAACTTTGACGGTCCGTAGTCTGCATCCGTAGACCCAGGTATGTTTCTTGAATTTTTTCCAAGTGTTGAGTAAAACGACGGAGGCCTTCGACAGTTCGTAGGAATTATTACGGACCATAAATGGTTTATCGTCAAACCTGTTTGTTTAAAATTAATGACCCGACCCGCGACCCTTTTTAATAAAAACCTCCAATTTTACATTCATCCCCCATTTCCCTCAATTCCCAACTCTTACAACCTCTCACATTTTCCACCCTTTCACACACAAACTCCATCCCTAACAGTTCCAACTTCCACTATTTAATCCTTTCCTCCCATCTTCTCCTTTTACCTCTCCTATCTTCCATTTTCCCCAAATTTCCTTTACTCATATTCAAGGCAGTGAGGGACAGGGCAATTATTAAGTTGGTTTTCAAAGTTCTAGACATCTAAGTGATGCACTCGCACAAATTGGAAATTCATATAAAGGTATGGAATTAAGCCTAACTAGATTCAATTACTTGAATTCAAAGTTGCTACTTGACCTAGGGTATGTGATGCTTGTTTTGTATGCCTAAATTAATTAAAGTATACCCTTCCTTGGGAAGCAAGTAGATGTGTAAATATGTGAAACAAATTACTTCAAATTGTGTTCTTGACAAAGAGTTTGTGATGGTGCTATTTGTTATTGTGATTAATTGATAAGTACAAGCCCTATAGATGACGGAATTACATTGAAAATTACTGTGTTGAAATGCATGTTTGTGATGGAATAGGTTGATATGATGTTGAAGATGTGTTAATACAAAGTTGATCCTAAAAACTCCTAATATTAGGGTTGACGACTTGGATCTACGAGACGTA